TATTATCACTGTCCGAGAAAACATGCATCTCCATATTTAACCATTTTCAGATTTCTCCATCATTTCAACACAGCGGGCTGTCATTTACTTTTACTGAAAATTTCTTGACGAATGAGCTAAAAACCTCTTTACATTTACTTTTGTTAAAAGTTAAAATGGCCTTCTCCTGTAACTCATTATTTTGGAGATACATGTATTGATGATATGTACTTTCAACAACATTGGCTTCATATTAGTAAAAATAGGGATTCCAGACTTTTGAATGGTAGTGTATAGGCATGCGGGAAAATCTCGATTCTTAGAGGCATCGTGATGCGGACGAGAACAATTCTGAATCGATTCATAAACGATAATCGATTTTCTAAATATTTAATTTATAACGTAATGTTGACGGAACATAAAATGCGGAACTTGGAAGTGGGTAAGTGGGGCGCCCGGACAGTCTGTGGCGGCACATAACAAAAACACAACTGGATGAGTGAGAAATCGGACCGGCTCCCTCTGCATTAAAAGCCAGGTTAGGTCAGGAGTCACAACCCAAATGATAAGAAGAGACATTTTGTCCTTTCAACAAAGTCAAACCACCTTGGCAGCCACAACATTTAATGTCCAGTATGTCTCAGGGTGTGCTAATGTCTCAAACAAGAGCAGTGAATAAGAGCCTTATAGATCACTTCCATTTGATTTATTAATAAAAGATATTGGAAGTAAATTCATTATGGATCATTATAAATACTTAGCTTTAAAACTACCGAGTCCTCACTCAGTGAGAAAATAGAAATCCTGTATAGAAAAAAAAGATACATCGAGATGCATCGATAATCGTTTTATAATCGCATTGCAGCCCTCTGAATCGTAATCGTATCAAATCGTGAGGTGCCTAAAGATTCCCACCCCTAGTAGTGTATTTAGTATCCACATGCAATTATAATCAAAGAAAATGATTCAGCAGGTCTCCCATTTCATCTTCAACTCTAGACTGTAGATCAAGAAAAAAATGCTAATGAAATTTCGTTTCCTCTTTAATCCATAGCCTCAAAAAGATTTTCATCACTGATTATATTCTTGCTGCACATTTTTCTGAAAAAATAGGATTTTTGCAGGACCACATTATATATTCCAGCAGACATACCAAAGAATAAAAGCACTTAGTTCAGAATGCTTTCTTAAGAAACAATACTATACATGCTATTAATGCTACTATTGAAATATAAAGTTTTGGGACTGATATTTGTGCTTTTGGTCCACTGAAGTCATTTTTTTCCATTTGAAACAGATTGAAAATAGGCATAGTAACACACCCTGGGGTTTCATTATCACTGTATAACCACACACCTCACACTAAACCAGAAGTGTGCAGCTACATACTGATAATGCGCTCCCTACTGTGCATTATTGCCTGCATAACAAATCTCATAACACGAGTGACAAGGTGTGCTTTTTTGAGGCTTCATCTCAAAGAATGACTTTTTGTGTAATGGAACGAGACAGACAGACAGACGGAGAGATAAAGATGAAAAGAAGACATGAAGAAAAACCAGAAAGGCTCCTTTAGATGTTGTAGCCAAGCAACAACAGCAGATAAATTCCTTGCTTCTCTCTTGCCTCTTCTCATTCCGTTGCCGAACGCAGGGAATCTGGAGATAACTGAGGCGGCAGGACATGAAAAGGGCCACGTTAAAATCCTCTTTTGTATTGCTGCCTCCTGCGAGACCTTTAGCATTTCAACATTTTTAACAGAGTTCATGGCAGAAACTGTCATGTAGAACATGCTGGGTTAATGCATGACCAACAGCAAGAGACCTACGAGAAGTCCAGGACTATTATGTTTCCTTTACCTGCATTTGAATGTAAAGTATTCCATTTTTATAGTCAGAGCAGAGAGGGATAGAGTTTGTGGCGCTACGCTTGCAAACGTTGTGTTAACTTCACTGAAAGAGGTTGGTCTCCCCCTTTTGGTTCAGGAGATCATTGCAGCTATTTCATGTGTTTACATTTCTTACACCAACCTTTTCATTATCTTACCTATTTCAAACCAAAGGTCAATCTCTCAAGGCCATTTAACTTATCTTATTTGCAGTTTATATAAATGGAGATCATGTTACTCTTTTGTGAGAAGATGAAGCTTAGCTTGTAATGTTAGTCTCCATCTAAGCTAGACGCAGATGAACTTTGTGAAATGACAAATGTCCTTTTTTAAAACAGAATCAGCCCCTCTGACACACAGTGAATCAAGGAAATCGACCTTGATATGTGCAGCCAGGTTGTCAGCAGAAGTATTCCACAGCTAATTCTAACAAGACATCTGCGTCCATCTGGCTGACAAGCCCTACAAGATTCTGCATTTGCTGATGAAATTCTGCCCATTTTCTCAGCACCTTTCACATGTGGCCTTCAAATAGATTATACAGATAGCCTTTTTTGAGAAGACCATGATTCTGAGAAGCTAAAGTAACCAAGCTAAGCTTAAAAGATGAGTGAAGGTGATGTTACAGCTTGACTGTTCTCGCCAAGTAAAGAAGACGAGAGCAAAAAAATTCTTCAGGGTCAGAAATGTAGATGCTGAATTCTTGATGATCAGAATATCTTCTACCAAATGTGATTTTCCGATGTGTTGCACAGAAGAAGGGGTTGTGTCTCTGTGTTTCCCTCATTAAGTCTTTTGGTGAAAATGATTCTTGCGCTAGATTAACCCTCACAAGTTGCAGTTTTTGACACTGATAATAAAAGCATGGTGTCATTTTTCTGATATATTTCTTATTCATAGCTGAAGTGAAAGGGCCTTGCAGAGAAGTTTTATCAAGGGCAATCTAATGGTTAAGGAAACTGACAGGCAGGTACACTCAAGGCAAATCCATTACACAAAGCACGGGTCAATAAACAGAAAAAAAAACATAAAACAAAGAAAACTCAGAACTCAGTTTGGGGAGCAGAGACTTCACCAAGCACAAGGCCAAAAAAGGGGCATATACAGTTTGGTCCAAAAGGTCATACTGAAGATTTTTTCATTTAATGAAATAAATAACCTGAAAATAAACAGCGGATAGTCTTATAATTAAAAAATAAATGAAAGTTAGACCTAGTGAAATGAAGAAGAAATATTCTAAATTCTGCACTGTTTCTTGGTCACTATTCAAATTCAAGCAAATTTGTAAAATAGGGCAGTAATAACATTTTGATACATTTGATTGTGATATGAAATGTGTATGATTTACAAAACCAGAAGCAAAAGTTTTTGTCTTCAAAGCTGGGGTGTAAAAAAGATTTTTTACACGACTTTTTGATATAAAGAAAACAGTGCAGCTATGCTATGAGTTGTATCTAAAGTCGATAAATTATGCTAATTATGCTAAAGTTGTCTTTGAGGAGAAGTGTGAGTTGTTTTCACAGCTGGGTGTTCTCACCCGTGCCCTTTCACTGCTCCTTGATTTTACTTCTCATTGCTCACTAGCAGCTCAACACACAGTCTAAAACTGTTTTCACACACAGAACAGTGTCTAAGTCAATCTGATAACAGAGCTACAGCTGCAAATATATTATTGAGTCAATTTTCATTCCTCTAGTTGAGTGGCCACTAGGGGGCCTGTAGAGAAATATTTATTGTGCCTGACAGCTGAGATTTATCTGTTAAGCTGCACTGGTGGAGCTTATTTGGTGAGGCAGATATCATGACTGTTCAAAAACTTGCCTATCGGATTATTTTTCACACTACAGGTTTCAGACATCAGACAAAACAGCTTCACAGAAAAACAGAAAAAAAAACATGAGTAGAATCATGTCTCAGCTCTCGTACATCAAAAGAAACAGGCCAAATGGCCTCAGAAAAAAGTCATCAGGCTAATCTAAGCAGCCTCGGGTGGTAGCGTTTGTGTGACATTCTTACTAGATTAATTTCAGTTCCATGGCCATGTTAAAAATGACCATATAAAACAACCACAGCTTTACTAACCTGTGCTATTATTATATTCTTATATTTAACAAAGGTTACGCTTTAATTGACATGCTTTCACTGTCAGTTGCTCCAGTCTCTGCTCCAGTGCCAGGAACCATTTCAGAATTACCAGACTACAAAGTGTTGCTTTTATTATTGTTTTGTTTTTTAACAAAATAAATCTCTAACCTCCCATCTCCCTTCCCGACAGGGTTTAATTGCTTAACCGTGGCTGTTTTCCACACGTTCATAACCTGAATATGAGGACTGTTGCCGGTACAGGCCAAGTTTTTTATCATTTGTCATCATATCAAGTCAACAATGCAAACTCACAGCTATCAAAAACAGAATGTACATTCAGTGTAAATATATTTCATTACATATCAACTTAATTAACTGTGTAATTACATCTAAATAGCAAAACTCTGTTCTCTGAGTAAATATAAATGCACAGCTCTGCGCACACTTGCATCATCCTTTATCAGCGACTCTCTCATCTCCAATGGGCCGACTTCACATAACACAGCCCGCCTCCCAAAAGAGGTTACCGTGGAGACGGAATACGTTAAGGTTGCCATGCCGCTGCATGGCGCTAGATGTTTGCCCTCATTGATTTGTTTGGTTGACCGTTTATTTCTGCACAGGCTTTTTTTCAAAAACGTTTTGCGGCCCTTCTTGCAATTGCCACCAGCAATGTTGTAATTACAGCGATGTCGCAACCTCCTGCTGCATCATATTGTGCTGATCACTTTGACTAAGAGGACACAGCATTTGGCTGTTTATTTCGCCAACAGACTGAAGCTGATTCAGGTGTTGTACTGCGCGTTACGTTGACTGTGACATATTTTAACGGGAAAAATAAGCCCGATTATCTGTCTGCATAACCATGACTGTCTTTTCATCCTGTCTCCTATTGTGCTGAGCCTTTTATGCAAAAGATTTTATACCGAATATGCGTTAAGTTAGAGGGCCTTAGCACAAAAAAGACGCTTTTTTCATTTTGAGGCTTTTAAAGAGAATCTCTGTTGATAAAACTCTATTGGTCTCTTTCTGCTTTGTTTACACTCAGTTGGCGAAGCAAGAAATCTAATTCCCATGGACCCCAACGGGCTGTCAGACCCGTATGTCAAACTGAAACTGATTCCGGACCCTAAGAACGAGACCAAGCAGAAAACCAGGACCATCCGCTCCTCCCTCAACCCCACCTGGAACGAGTCCTTCACCTTGTGAGTTGGCACTCACAGTGTCTGCAAACATAAACTACACTGTAAAAAAAAGTAATTTTCAAGAAGGCACAGTGCGCCAGAAGACAACATGGCTTCGTAATCACTGCTTGAAACAGCCATTGATGTTGTTGAAATCCATATCCATTAAACATTGCCGAAAAATGCCTGTGCCTGACAGTGTAAACAAAATAAATAATTTACTTAAAATGACTGTATTAAGTGGTTGGTGTAGGTTATAAATAGGTTTATATATATATAAAGATTATAAAGGTTATAAAGAGATTTCTGTTGACAGAGCGATTACCGTCACTGAAAGAAAATCATAAAACATCCCAACAATAAAGATTATTTTCATTGTATTTGATTCCCACATTTCTTAGGATGTTCTAAGCATTTAACATATTGTCTGTTTATGATTCCAGCAGTTGTGTCCATAAGTCACCCAAAGCGTCAAGTGGCACAGGAATAAGGTGGATACAGTTATTATAAACAGGCAGTTGTCTGCAGTCACACAGTAAAAGACGATTTAAAATAACAATTAAGTAACAAGACTGGACAGACTAAAAAAAACAGTAAACAGAGTAATAAAGCCCTTTCTCCTAGGTTTAATAAGATGCTCATCCTGATCCTGTATGTGTCTCTTTGTCTATACAGTAAGCTAAAGGCCACAGATAAAGACCGGCGGCTGTCAGTAGAGGTGTGGGACTGGGACAGGACCACCAGGAATGACTTCATGGGCTCTATGTCATTTGGTGTGTCTGAGCTGATCAAAGCCCCTGTGTGTGGCTGGTAGGTTCACTTCCTTTTTAACCTTCACCTGACAATTCTAGAATTATTGGTATAATCTGGGGCTACAGTCAGGCAATATTCAAGTCCATTGATTTATCAGTGGATGTGAAAAAAAAACCTGCATTTACTTTATAATGAGCTTTTAATATGAAATTAAGTGCTAATTTCTGAGGATTTTATTGGCTTCATTTTGTATTGTGAAACCAGTAATTGCTAAACTAATAGTTAACAGTAAACATGGCTAAACGCAACATTAAGCATATAAATACCATGTTAGAACACAAACCAAAACTCTGTTTGAAAAGTAAGATCTAATCCACAGAAATCAACAAAACTGCTAAGAATTACGCTGTATTATTTAAATTGTTTTGTGACTTTGTGCAGCAGTTTCGTGGACTTGGATTAAGACTAATCTTGGACTAATCTGCAGTGTCAGTGGTTTTCTCAATTAAAAATCCTATTTAATCTAAGCTTTGGTTCAACATAGATCTTTGAGACTAGATCTGTGAGTGTAAGATGTTTTGAGTCAGGTTAGCTAGCATCTATGCTATAGACATGAAGGACACAGTTTACTTTAAAAATCTTTAAAAAATAATAATTAATTTTCAGTCTGTAATTTGGGTTACAGGGTTGAAATTTCCGAGTGACCTTGTCAGCCAGTAATGAAAGAAATTACATCCCATGATCCTCAGGAAATTTGGATGTTGCATCAATTAAGCATGTGACTTGTGGAATATTCCAGCTATTTCATAGGGGTGAATGTGTTCCCAGGTAACAGGCAATGAGGAGGGGCATGACAAAAATGTACATGGATAAAAATCTGTAAAGGTTGATTTACAAAAAGTGTTAAATGGTTTCACACATTAATATGAATAATACTGTTTCTGAATTATTTCGATGATTATATTTCAAGGTAAAGTGTGATATAGAGCCCTTGGACAGGCAGAAATACTGTAATTGCTGTGGGGAGGATTTATTAATGATGTAAGTTATCTGTCTGAAATAGGCACATTTGGTTGTGAAGGACACATCACCAGTGTTTCAAATTGACTTTACATGCATGTTTGTAAATGTAACATCAGTGGGACAAAAAATGACACCCCAATCATGGAATCGCCCAGTTTGCAACAGACAGTGATCTTAATTAGCAAAGCACTTTTTATGTGTAACTTTTATTTTTGACTGTATAAAATTATATTGACTGAGATTAAGGGTTGTTTTGATTTTTACTTATCTAAATCAGTGTTGTATTGGTGACAAAATTGATCCTAGAAATTACTGCGATAACTGCAACTTCTAAGGGTTAACTATGTAAACACCCAGTTGTGCTATATGCCTCCTAATTCCCATCATCAGCATGAGATCTTGCTGAGCAGGTCCTGGATCACTGCAGGGCCGGGATTACACTCTGGTGCTCCTCACTCTCTGATGCAAGCGAGGCTCTTGGATGGTGTTAATCCATTGACAGCCTGGCGGTTCCTCTCGTTATCTCAGCACAGCTGATGAGTTAAAAAGTCTTGACGCCACATGTGGCCACTGTTTCCTGGAAGGCTGCAGTACATCTGTGTTAATGAGCCAGTGCTGCTGTAAACAGCTCCCCTCCAAGAGAACACTTCAGAACTTTTCTTTACAGTGGTGGCGATAGGAACCAGGTGATGTGATGTCTACAACACAAATATAGCCATTTTATTTACTAAAATAATATCTAAAAGTCCAGTGAGACCAGTGAGTCTACATGTCTTCTGAGTCTTTATATGTAATGCTGATAATGGTAAGTCTGAAAAAATATGATTTCTTTTGGGACTATTTTGCTGTACTACACCCATGAGTTTTTAAAAGATATGTTATATGCTAAAACTTTATCTCAGGACCATCATAAAACAATGACTCCAGGCAGTGTATTTTTAATAATTTCGTTTAATAGCTTATAACATATGAGGGATCTTTTAGAGGCGTTAAAAGCTCACATTAAACAAGTGCAGGAGTGCAGAAGAGTGCACAAAATGATGAAGGCATATTCCTTCATCATTTAAGGCAGTTTGAAGCAATTTGTAAATAATATGTAAAATGTTTCAAAACATACCATTTGCTCACCAATCCACACTGTCCTCATATGAAAACTACACTGCAAAAACAGCCTGTTTTGCATTCAGTGTTTCTGGGATGTTACAAAAACAGCTCATTTACATATATTTACCTATACAACATACAGCGATTTAGCCCCGCCCACTCACACTGAAGTTATAAGAAGTGTTTCAGCTCCAAGTGCTTTTTTGAGTGAGGCACAATACAGACCAGAGATCATTTATCTTATAACAGTCTTAACGTAAAGACACAGTGAAAAAACAGCCTGTCTAATTCTAAAGATAAAGAGCGATGGGAAAATGTTCATGTACAAATGAATGATGACCATTTAGTACATAAAACCACATCAGTGTTATAAATGGACCTCAAGGGAAGATGTAAAATGCAAAAAAAGTAGGATATACACCCTTTAAACCCAGCATATAAATAGAAATTGTGCACTAAAAATTATATTTAAGTTCTCTGTCCCCTATGTTAACATATTTTGACTTACAAAATCAACAAAACATAATCTGTAATTTGACCATGCCCGTTGAAGTGTATGTTTGCTAATGCTTCCACTAGTTCTCTGTGTGTTTGAGAATAAGAGAGAGAAATAGAGAGAGAGCAGAGGAAGCTGGAGAGATGTTGTGCATGAAGATAGTAGCGGATACACACATTTCTCTTTCACACAGCGCAGTGTTCTCAGTGACAGTGAGCAGACTGTTGGCTGCAGCCTGCGGCTCTTTCTGTCACTGATCACTGTCTGCTGCTAAACCAGCTACCACTCGCATCAGCTACAACACCTCAGCTTTAAAACAGCAACATCCCACTGAAACACAAGATGGATGAAGCACAAACGTGAGTTTAACAAGACTTGTCACTGACTCTGAGTGATGTGCATGCACAGGCATCGTATGAGACAAGCAGCAAGGTTGCACAAAACACTATTAAATATCACCTTATCAGTGTGTGAAATATTCTCTGGTGTTTGGGGGTCCCATGTTGGCTGGTTTCTCCAGCGTTGTCAGGCTGCTAACTCACTCTCCATAGTGGCGTTGATTAGTTTAACAGTTCTTCTTCTAAAAATGCTTCTTTCTGTGGTCTTCCACACATTCATATAGATCTTATACATCTCCTCTTTTGTCTTCAGTTTAAGGAATGAGTGAAAATTCTTTCTTTCCACTGATCTTCTGGGAAATTGAGTTAGTTTTCACATTCACAAACATGCTGCGGCACATTGTAAAATTTTTCAGAGGTATCCTGAGCAGTTCCTATGAAGGACCAGGTGAACCAATTTGCAATAGCACCACCCTGAGGTAGACCACTGCAGCATCACTATTTAGTTATGAATATCAAAGACAGAGGCTCACTGTTTTGTGGGAGAAGCCGGCTAAACAATGACCTTTCCCTGCATTTGTATTTGAGCGTCTAATTTACCCTAAGGGACAGCATTACATTATAATAAGTTGATTTTCAGCCCCTCAAATTTTGATTTTGTGACATTCAGCAGGTCCATGAGGTTAATTAGGATTCCGGGCCCCCCAGGACCTCCTGTATTTCACACTTTGCACCTTCTGCTACCGATATAACAAATAATGGAATAGTACAGAAACACATTCATTGAAACACTCTTAGAAAAACTTGAACACCTCATAACAAAACAGCAAGTAATTCTACTTGAGCTCAGGCTGTTTGACTCCAATTTGAATTCTTCCTCCAACTGTATGAGCTGCCATATTGATCTGCGTTCACCAGATTAATGCTACCTTGCTCGAAAGCTATATTGCTAGTGCTATTAGCATATATCATATTTTGAATATACAATGTACATTTTCCTTGACTGTGCACATGATTCTGAGCAATGTAGGCATTTGTGTGAGTGTATCCGCATGTACAGTCATCTTAGAAGCTGATGTTACTATGCTAATAACATCTGTTATTATAATTTAGACCTGCTGGATAGCTAGCTAAATCTGTTTTCACAGATTTATTCATGACGTAGCAGACATACCATGTCGGAATTAAGAAATTAATTATTATTAGTAATAATAATAATTAATTATCTTTAATTATTAATGATAATTATATTGTTAGTAATAGGTAGTAATAATAATTAAAGTAATTAATCACCATTAACATAATAAATAAAAGTAATTATTTAATTGTTATTCACAATCATTATCATTAACACTAGTAGCAATATTAGTATTATAATAGAAAAACTGTGTATTGACAGAAAGTGTCTTCTGCCGGTCACTACAAGCAGGTGAACTAAAACGTTAATTCTCCATGCAGTACATAAAATTTATTCCTTTATTTATTTGTTTTGCAGATGATGGTGGTCCAGCAAATCTAGGCTTGCCTAGGCTTATGTATATAGGGACATTTTTTTAACCTGTTTTCTATTGTTTGTAAATGTTTGAATGCCAGTGCCCTACAGAATTACTGGCATGCTTGTTAAAGATGCGCAAAAAAGCAATGTTTTGTGCACTACTGAAAATATATAAGATAAATCTATCATTTAAATGAGGAAAAAATTATTTAAAGAAAAAAATATATATATTTCTCAAAATTGCACAGCTACAGTTTCTTGTCAAAAGCATAAAGATATAAAATAGATGTATGTTGAGGCTTTTTCATTGCATTGGGCTAGGGTAAAAATGAGTATTTGTGGTACTAGAATCTATATGATTTTCCATATTACATTCACCAGCTAAGCTCCCTTAGCTTCATGTCCTTAGCCACTACACATTAGAAGAAGTTTGAATGCTAACATTGAAATTAGAAATGTATTTCTCTACCTGCAGGTATAAGATGTTGAATCAGGAGGAGGGCGAGTACTATAACGTTCCAATCCCAGAAGTAGACGACATTAACCTGGAGCTGAGGCAGAAGTTTGAGGTGAGGGGCCTTTCTGTCTTTGCAAACTGAGTTGGTGTTAGCAATACGCTTTTATTTGTACTGACATTGGCGTCTTGCATCATCACTGTTGCAGAAAGAAGCTCTCCTTGATTGACTGTTATGTAAGAGGAATTGGTTAAAGGCTTTTCATGTGGTCATACTCAGGAAGTGTCAGATGCACACACTGACCAGTTAAGTGATATCTTGGACAGTGCAAGCCTTGAATTCACTACACCACTTTTAAAATCCTGACAGATTGAACAAAACCTCTGGATCTCACGCTTTCTCACAGGTTTTTCTGCTGATTTTTTGGGGGGCTCGCACACTGCCCGGTTGATACATGCCAAACCTACATGAAAAGCTGTTACTAGGAGAAATTGAACATGTACTTGTTTCTACACTTAATGTCTATTTTATCAGCTCCACTTACAACCCTGTTTCCAAAAAAGTTGGGATATGTTGGACCACAGGATACTCATTAAAAGAGTCAGAGAATCTGGACAAATCTCTTTAAATTCTACCATGCAAACAAGAAACCATACATCCATAAACAGGATACAGAAACGCCGCCACCTTCTTTGGGCCAGAGCTCACTTAAGATAGACTGAGACGAAATGAAAAAGTATCCTGTGGTCCAACAAATCAAAATTTGATATTCTTTTGGGAAATCATGGACACCGTTTTTCTGGGCTAAAGAGGAGAGGGACCGTCCATCTGTTTATCAGCACACAGTTCAAAAGCCAGCATTTGTAATGGTATGGGGGTGCATTAGTGCACAAGACATGGCTGACTTGCTTATATGGCACCATTAATGCTGAATGAAATATACATGTTTTGGAGCAACATATACTGCCATCCAGACAACGTCTTTTTCAGGGAAGACCTTGCTTATTTCAGCAAAACAATACCAAAACACATTCTGTACGTATTACAACAGCAAAGCTTCGTAGTAAAAGAGTTTAAATGATTTGCACATCATTGCATTCTGGTTTATTTAAATTTTGCACAGCATCACAACTTTTTTGTAAATGGGGTTGTATGATATAGGTGCACTTTGTAGTTCTACAATTGCAGACTATAGTCCATCTGTTTCCCAGCATGCTTCGTTAGCCCATTTTTACCCTGTTCTTCAGTGGTCAGGACCCCACAGGACCACCACAGAGCAGGTATATGGGTGGTGCATAATTCTCAGCACAGTAGAATATCCAAGAATTTTGGCCAGTAGTGTCTTGTGGCCAGACACTGACTAGTGATGAAGGATTGGAGCAGGGATATTCAAATAAAACCCACACACGTCCAATTACATTAAATTTCTTGATTACACAGACCCAGATAAACAAACTAACATGAGTGAATGATGGTAATGGTTACATTTAAATACTTAACCTTTAATAATTACTGAATAAACAATGAATTAATTTTTTTGAATACTGTATTCATGGTCAACTTTCCTTTTTTTAACAAGCCACATTTATGCTTCACTGCTCAGACCAGAAATAGTAAATAAACATCTCTGAAATCTATGAAAACTATGAAATTATTTGCTTTCTTAGCTAATATCTAGCGTTGTTTTCTGATCTGTTTCATGATCTGTTATTGTAGATCTACAAAGTGCACCTATAAAGTAAGCAGAGCTGATAAAATGGACAATGAGTGCAGATACAAGGTAGATGTACCTGATTAAGTGGCTAGGATGTGTACTTCCAGTAGTTTGCTTCTGTGCTCTCAATTTTATAGGCTATTTTATTGGAATCCATATAGTCAAAATTATGTCAAACATATGATATGATAAAGTAGAGCAGGAGGCAGGAGCTAAAGGTGTACGCACTTCTCCATTTTCCAATCCAACTATCGATTCAGTTTCCACCAGAATCTTTAGGCAGCACAGTTTCAGCAGTGTGAATCGTGGCTGTAATCATGGTCAACTTCAAGAGCATCAGTCAGAACTGCCCTATAACATTCCTGCCCACTCTCTCGCTAAGCTATCTGAAAAAAAGACATATGTGTTTTTTTGTGACGACGCACAAATCCAGTTTCAGTTTATTTATTTATACACTACCAGTCACTCCTAGACGCTCCTAGCTCAGTATGTATTTTTCATAATGATAAATGCATTTTAAAGTAAAGGCTTATGCTTAAATGCAAATGAAAGACAAACACAAATACTGAAGTGGTCAAAAAACACAATTAGTGAAGTGGTCAAAAATAAATAGTTGTCAATTTTTTTTTTAATAAAACAAATAAAAAATCTATTTATCTGAAATGTCTCAAGCAAGTAGTTTTCATCAGCAACGAGGTCTCTGCATAATGCAGCTTCTTCAGTCCTGTATAAATGACCTCAGGTGAATGAAGCTGCATGGGAGAATGATCAAGCTTGTGTAAAGCTGCCTCAAGAAAAGTGGGGACTCATTTCTGAAAGAAGATAGTTTGGTTTGTTGATTTGTTTAATGCTGTTTTGGTCCCTGCATAGGTGTTGTTTCATAGTGTTTAGGGATGGATTACTGCCCGGGCCATTGGGGCCAGTGCCCAGGGGCCTCTCACTTCCAGGGGTATCAAGGAGCCTCAGGCCACACGACCCCAGATGGTTCAAATAACTGTCTACTGCAGGTGTACACATTAGATGAAGAAATATTTCTGGAATATGAACACATGAGTAACATGAAAGAAATATATGAGGAAAAATGATCTTTTCTAAAGCCTCTTAGGTTTTATATCATTTTTGATGCATGAGATTTACTGTTCCCATTTAAGTGGGAGGTTAGCATTTACACTTCCACGTCTGTAGGACTGCTTCTTTTGCATTACAATTCAGTTTGGCTTGAAAGAAAAAGAGAAGAAATCTCGATTCAAATGTTACACACACACAAAAAATTAATTATACAAAAATCTTCAAATCTTACATGATAATTATGTAGACACAGTAGCAAATTAATAAGTCTATTTTTATTTTCGTAACAAAAAACAGACGATTTTCCAGTGTTGTTTAAAGTGGCTATAAAGATGAATGTGAAATATTGTTTAATCCGATTTTCATTCATTTTTATTTCATTTTTTAGTATTTTTTTATTATGTGGAACTATTGGAGTGCAGGGGGCCTCCAAATCCTCTTATGCCCTGAAGCCTCGCAAGACCATAATCTGATAGTGTTAATGTCTTCACTATTATTCTAAATGAGGAAAACACTTCTAAGAGTATTGTGGACTGAGCTTTACTTCCATTAACTTTCTCTTTTCCATGGTGTTAGCTACACTGTATGTGCTAAAGTTTGTAGATACCTGGTCACCCAAAGTTTCTTCTGAAATCAATGGTATTAATAGGGAATTTGTCCCCTTTGAGCTGATCTTAGGCTCATGTGCAGCTGCTCCAGAGTGTGCTATTCTATTAGCAGTGCTTTTCAGCAATAGGTGCTGACACATGTCAGCAGTAGATGCACCTTAAAGTAGCTGACATTACTCATTAGAAGGAGTGTCTAGATACTTTTGGACATGTGAGTAGTAGGTTCCAAATATGCATCATCACTGAACACTGGTTTCATGCATTCCGGCCACTGTTGAATTGGTAATTTGGCCTGCCTTCCAAAAGGGCAGGTGGAAATGCAAAAAATGCCAACCATTTCACTCCCTGAGGGGGTCGACGTTGTGTACCCTAACTTCAGAGATGCTGCTTCGCAGAGTCACTGTACGCTCAAAGTGCAGGAAATCCACTCCTGATTTCACAGCAAGCTGTTTAGAGAGGTGCTCCCTGAGTTGTCATGGTAACAGCAGCCTCAGTGAGGCTGGGGAGACGAGCATTTTGGAGCGAGTGTCAGCAGCGCCAGGGCGATCCAGGCTTCATGCTTTTCACCAAGGCCAGAGTGTCAGAACGGTCATTCACTGATGATGCTGTTAAGTTTTCTGCCAAAGTAAGGCTGTCTTTTCAGAAACACCAAGAAGTTATCAAGTGATAAATAATATACTGTTACAGTATTGTGCAAAAGTTTTAGTTAATATAAAATCCATAAACATAAAAAATAATTACATTTATAAAGAATATTAATACAGTAGTGATTTCACATGTCACTTCCAGACCCCTCTTTACAGACACCCAGGATTATTTTATTTACAAAGGCAACTCACTGTTCTTCACATTCTTTTTATCATTGCTCTAACCTTTCACTTTCATAGGAACCTAATAGGTTGCTAGAGCTTTTTTTACCTGTAGGAATGAACAGAGGAACGTTCAACATTCTGAAACTGAATTGTTCTTCTTATATAAACCTCTTTTTCTGACACTGTCATTGTACTCTATGTGGCCAAATGTTCATGTACCCCTTATACACCAGCATGATACACAGCAACCACCACAGCACCACATCAACACCACAGCAGCCACCTAGCAACACTTAAGCAACCACATTGCAGCACCCTGGAAACATTCTAGTAACCATCTATGTATACCTTAACAAGCAACTACCACATCCTAGCAACTAACTAGCAACATTCTAGCAATCACCTAATATACCATAGCAACTTTTGAGCAACACCTTAGCAACCACCTAGAAAAACAAACCAACAAGTACCACCTAACAGCTCTCTAGCAACAACAGAGATACCATTGTACCACTGCAAATACATAGAAATACCCTAACAACCACCTGGAACAACATAGCAACAGCAACCCCCTATCAAATGCTTAGCAAATCACTTAACAGTACTCTAGAAACCTCCTCCAATACTACAGCAACAACATAGCAATATCCTATCATCCACTTGAAATGACATATGAACTGCTCAGCAACACCCTAACAACAACTTGGAATAACATAGCAACACCACAGCAACAATCTAAAAAACAACAGCAACCACTTTGCAATACTTTTGCAAAACTTACCAACCACCTATTAGCCGCCTAGCAACACCCTAGCAACCACTTGGAATACCATAGCAACTACATAGCAACTAACTGGAATACAACAGCAACTACTTAGCAACATACTATTAGTCACCTAAGATACCACAGCAACTGCCTAGCAATGCTTAGCAACCATTTAGAATGCAGTTTCAACCACCTAACACAGATAACCAACAGTCTCAAAGTGCTCCCTGTATGTATCCAATCAGTGAAATAACCCATAAACATTTCTCAGCATAAGCAGGCCACCAAATTTAACCTATTATTGCAATATAAATACAATTAAGTTATCAACCACAATCACCTGTTTAAAACTTCTTTAATCATTCAGGTATTTTTAGCTGTCTTTTTTAAGCCAACCTTAAATTTGTTCAAAAACTTTTCCTTTCTAGTTTGTAGTTTTCATCCAATATTTGTTTGGCTAAGTAATACTTTTTTGAAAACAATAAGTTATTGGTTTTACTGTATTTATGTTTATTTGCATCAAGTCTAGTGATATATGGTGATTTCGCACACTTATTGTCAAGATAAATGGACTTTTGCACAGTGCTGTTTATAGTAATTACCTAATACATTTCAATTGTGAAACATTCTGGATATTAATTTTATTATAACTTCATTCTCAGTGTTATACAGCTTCCTCAGTAATTATGGAACAGTCTACAGCTCAGTTCATCATTCTGGACTCATCAAACCTTTCATTTTTACAGCTTTCTGCCAATTAATTAAAGGTGTGTGGTACAATTTCTTTTTTATTTGTTGCAACCAGTGATTTTAAACTTTTGAATGCTTTTGAACATTAGTGCATTTCAGTCAACAGTTGCTCCAGTTTTAGTTTGCAGAGTGAAAACTGGGTCATCGACAAATCGTCAAGGGGTTCTCAGCTTGAAATCGTCATGAAAACCAAGAAATTATTGTTGGAAAACTGTCTGGATGTTGTTTTCCACAATTAAGCTTTGTGGCAAGACAGTGATTTGGAACATCCAGTAACCTCTCAGTGCTGAGCAATAACACTCACCCATCACAGGAGTTTTTTGATTAGCAATGCTGCTGGGGTCAGTCCATTGTAGGGTGGTGCTTTATTCTGTCAATACCAGCAACTGCAGAAAGACGAGCATTTCTTAGTCCTCAAATTGGCACTTAAATGACACTGGAACACAATACGCTACATTAGAAGCTGTAACTATTATTAAGACTATTATTGACTCAGTTTTATTGATGAAAAGACTTAGTTTAGTATTGTTTCAACCTGTAATCACTGATCAAAATAATGAGGACATTACAGATCCACTGTATTATCGATCAAAATAATTGGGCTATTATCTGTTGTTGAATCATTATACTATGGTTAGTTCTGACCTCGCAATACAATTGACTGAGACACATTCTATGGCCTCTTTTCCACAGAATTCCTCAGATTTGAGTTATTATCATCTAAACTTGCATCAGTTTAGCTTTTGTTAGACAGAATCAAACTTGTTCTGTGATGAGAAGAGCTGTTAGCAGCACTGTTTAACATTTAGTAATTGTTGCTGTATTGATGGTTCGACATTTATGTCCAATGGTGGATTGAAATCATATAATGCTTTCATTTATTTGACGAACGTGTTATTTGATTGTTTTTAGGGTTTATGCAGGATGCAGTGGCACAGTACTGACATGAACATAGAACCATCACTGAGTCATCTCGCTGAATGGTTCTGTGGCCCTGAGCACAGTTAGCTTGTGATGAGAAAAGAATTCTGAGCACGGTTTGTTCCGTGCTGAGCCATGCTCATGTGGAAATGCCACTTGAATAGTTACTCTCTGTGCCCAGAACCACTAACCCTACAGTGGAAAAGAGGCCTTTCAGTGGCAGTATCTTCCAATAATGGCATTCCGAATGGGACTCTTTAAGTATCACTCCGCCTCCGACAACCAGCCGTTAAAAGGTAACGGCCACAACTTTATTACAAATAACAAGCCTGCCAAACAGACAAAACCTAATAATGAAAATCAGTAGCTGATGTATTAATTGTATTATCAGTCTAGTTTGTTATTACTGATCAAAACGCTTAGGCTATTATTGATTTAGTATGTTGTAAGTGATCCAAGTGATTAGACTGTTATTGATCCCGAATATTGTGTTTGAAAATAAAGAGGTCATCTCTGCTTCAGTATTTTGTTATTGATGAGTATGATCAGACTATTATTGACACAGTATGTTGTTACTGATTCAAATTATTGGACTACTGTATTATAGACCAAATACATTATTTCTGATGATTATTGATTCAGTTAAGGACACTTTGTTTAGCAGATTGAGCCCACTCCTTTTTTTAGTCTATTGTCTGATGACCTGCTGTTTTTCCCCCATGGGCTCATTTCTACTCCACGGAATAGAATATAATGTCTGCAGCGCTTCAGATGCCTTTTTCTGTTTTTAATTTTCACTTCTGCGTGTCGAACGTAGCCTTGACGTCCCTGAGGTGCCAGCACATCCACGAGCAAACTCTCATCGCCATGGAAACAAGGCCCGGCACATGAAGTGTTACCAAATCGTGGTTGCGCTGACAGGGCTGACTTGTCAGGACCTTCTCTGATGAAAAAGGACCCATGTTACATAATACGTGCCACTTTTCTGCACATAATTGTGTGTCAGTGCTTTATGATTACACATCTGAAAGTTGTTGGACTGCATGAGCATGAATTGTGCATTTTTTTCAGTGATTTAGCAGAAACAGAACTTCTTAGCACGGTGAATATATCATATTCTAAGTTGAGTCAGAATAGTGTTGTTCGTGTCTTTGCAAAAGAGATGCACTATTTTTCCCACAGACTGGAGAAATGTGCTGTTCATGTCATAGAGATGTTTACAAAGTAAACAGCTAATGGCAAAAAAACAGATTTAACATCACTTAATAGGTTTTATATCCGTTTTCATCCATCAGTGTTCTCTTACTGCAGTACCCAGCAGGCGCTGTGCAAAGACATCATATAATCATTGCTATTCCCCCATGCAGTGATAGTGAAATTGTTTGTTGAATGTTAATAATACTCATAAGAAATTTGGCTCATATATACACACAAATAAACATTTCAAACAGCTGGTCCTCAGAAATCCATCCTAAAGCATGAGTAGTTTTTGAAAAGATCCTTCCACCTTCAAGATGCATCATCAAAAGGGCTTTTCTTAGTCTTTAAATCAGAAAATCTCACTGTTAGGACTGCTGTGGCACCACTCTAGGAGGCAAGTAGCCGTGTTTACAGCAGTGCCCTCTTAAGTAATCTTGGGTCTGCATGAGGCAGCCAATTGTCAGATTTCTTTCTAAATACATGATGTATGCACCTCTACAGTTGCTTTGGAAGGTGTCAGTTAACCCACTGAATAAAAAGGATGTGACATGTTGGTGTAGATGTGGTGTCAAATTTTAGATAAAAAAGAAATAATTATAATTTTTACTTTTCAGTTTCTTATTTCTATGAAAATTTTGGCATTTAGCAGAAGCTCTTACCCAGAGCTACTTACAGTATTATGATGTTAGAAGGAGTAGGCAAACATAGTCTTGCTCAACATGACTTGTGCTCAACATGACTACTGATTTTAGATTGACTTTAAGTCTGTGGTGTTTATTACTTTGGAGAAAAAGAAAGATACCGTATTGTGGATTAAGTCCAGGTGTCTACTGCATTTCTCAGATTTAACCCTCTGGGGTCTGAGGGCATTTCCTTGATTTTTGCATATTTTCCTAAATTGATCTTTAAAGCCACTTGCAAATGATGATACCCACGTTTCATATCAAAATGCTCTGTTATCTTTGTCACTACTTTCCAAAACTACTGCAGCTGCACCTTCAGTGGCTGCAAACATTTTGCACACCATTTCACATGTTTCCTATGTCATTAAATGAAGAATGCAGGGTTTCCAATGTGATGGTTGAGTCCTTAGTGATTTCCTGAGTGGGCATTGGTCAGTTTCACAAAAAATGTAGATGTAGACAACTACACACGGTGAAAGGCAGATGACTTGTATCTTAGCCCCTCTTCCTAGCCTCATAACTCTGGATGTGAGTCATGTATGATGTTGCGATAAGATGGAATCAAACGAGCAGATGCTGTAGATTCAGGAAATGTTTGAACCGTATATCTGCACTGTATTCTGCACTGCACTGAAGATTTGACACACAGGCAAGTTTGTGGAACCCAGAGTGTTAACACCATATACATATTATATGACCACTTCAGTGATGTGGTAACTACCGAAGGCATATAATGACAACATTATTAGTGTGCAAGTAAACACGCAGATAGTTAGTGAATTCTGTAAGTGATTATATTGATAATAGTTATCCAGATATGCTTTCTCATTACTAGGGCTGGGTATGGAAATTCAGTACCTTTATAGTACTGATTGTATTACTTCAGTACTATAGAGTATTGAAAAACTCCTTGCAATCCAGTGCCAAATTTCAGTACCTAAGTAGTTAGTCTTATTAGCATCTAAATGTCATTGTGTTTGCATGTTATCAACATCACATTTCTTGATTGGCCTGTAATCCATTAGAGTAAGTAAATACACTCACTTCCAGCACCTCACACTCAGTTCTGGTTTAAGCCACATTCACTTTCGGTATGTAATTAAAAACAATACCCAGCCCTACTGATGACATTTATTATCCTCAAAGTGTCCCTGTCTGTAGCAGCAGCCTGAAATGGAGCCTTTGTTGTGTGATGTTTGTGTGAACTCCACACACACACACACAACACATTCATCCAACTAACATTCTAGTTTTTCTCCTCTCTTGTAGGCCTGTCAACTAAATATCCACTTCCTAAAGGTAGCTCTTTCTGTGCTCTGCTTGCTCATCTCTCTCTCTCTATCTTCCTGTTTTTCTTTCTCTCTTTCTCTTTTTTTTCTTCCTCTCTGATTTGTTTGTTTGTGGTGTCGGCCACTTCAGAGAAATCAGATTTACTAACAATGATGCAGTCCGATTTTTTACAGGGTTGCTATGCACTGTTCACCCCACACACACACACATAACACACACAATTTCTTAGCATATCTCTCTCACACATACATTATTGTACAGAGGTCTGAGACAACTCTTCATTTCTTAAATTTCCAATCAAAACTGGCAATTAAGTACAAGTTATTTGAGAGATGTCTCTGAGAAGATTAAGTGAAAAAACAGACGTTTCTAAAATTGGAGCTCGAAAAATATTCAAAACCCAGGGCAAAAATGGTAAATGGAAGGACCTGTTAGACCACCAAAAGTGTCCCCAGATAAACAGCACTCATCTTTTATGTTTGAGAGAAAAAAGAAAATCGAGCTCCACTCTTGCTTCAGATCTGAAACAATACACAGGTGTGTCTGTTCATCCTTCCGCTGTGAGAAGACCACTCACTGCTATGAGTCTGAAAGGATGTATAGCTGTCGACAAGCCTTTAATGAGAAAAGAAAATAGACAAATAAAGAAAAGAAACACAATTTGTGCTGCAACACCAAAACTGGAGATCAGAGGAGTAAAGTTTTATGGACTGATGAATGTAAATTTGTAGTTGGGATTACTTTGATCTTGAGAGGCAGAAAATGCAACCAATTCCTGACTGATCTTTGTAGTTATGCAAAAATATTCCTACACATTTCTTTGAAAAGCTGAAAGCAAGTCTCTAGAAAAGATCTGAAAAAATCTGTAGACCTTCAGAAAGGAATCTGAAATGAAGCCAAACTGTGGATAAACTAAATAATAAATAAAATTATATATAAGGTAGATTTAGTTATTGAGACTTCTGTGTAATTTTCTACAGAGCCCTGCTGGTGACATCCCATATACATAAAAATAATGTGTGGCTATGCTTTATTAATGCATGAGAATGAGATCCTAATGCGTGACCATTACTTAGTAAGGCGTAGGAATGAGATAATTAAGTCGTGGCCACAACTTAGAAAGGCATGGGGATTAGATCATGCCTTACTAAGTCGTGGCCACGCATTAGGATCTCGTTTCCACGCCTTAATAAGTCATGGCCATGCATTATTTTTATTTATACAGGATGTCACCAGCTGGGCTGTCACCAGCGGGGCTATGCTGAATGACCGTTTGGACAGGAAATTAAATACATGTAGGGTGGTCTCTGACTTTTGACAGTACATACAGATGCACATACACACACATAGTAATTTAGCACAATGCATATACACCCTTACGTTTTCTCAGCAAGTCTTTCTCACACATACACACACGCGTATGCAATTGTTAGTAAATTGTCAGACCACTGAATTATAGGGGAAGGTATATTACCATTGTAATATACTGTGTGTGTATGTGGTCTGCAGCATGGCCTCTATATAGGATTATAGAGGGCAGACTCATTACTGACTGCACTCAAAATAAAGCATGCCACCATATGCATCCACAGCTAATGAAGCACTACAGTACCTCCCTCTGTCCTCTACTAAAACACAACCCTGACAGTGTAGCCCCCCTCCACTAAACACACAACTGTCTTGCTGTGAAGAATGTGAACACACTAATCTAATGCATCAAGCAATATAACAATATTCACTGCATTAAATTGGGTATGGGATTTGCATGATTAAGAAAAGTGCACTTGCAAGAACTCACCACTAGGGGCCAGCATAGGATTTTCATTTGGTGAGTGTAAGGAGATGAGATGAAAGTTTTTTATTATGTTCATTTTGTCTGATGTGTTTACATGTCTGTGAACATGTTTTTTTTTTTAGTTTTGCACCTCAGTAACCAAAAAATACAAAGCCTTTTAAATCTGCTGTCTTGTAGTTCTATAAATATCCACTGGATGTCCCTCTGGTCCTCAGTCTTTCTCTGAATAGCCTTTACCCAGTCCTGTCAGTATAGTAACACAATAAAGGCAAGTTAACAAAGAGAGAAAGTTCTTAGCAAATGTTCTACACTCAATTATCATGTTATTGTGTCAATCTGACTAAACAATCATAAGGCAGAGTGAGTTTTTATTAAGTGGGGAATAAGCTAGTGATTTGTGTAAGCTGTAGCTTTTCTGGATGCTGAGAAAAAGGGTTAGCGCTGTAGCTGTTAGTGCTTGGAAAAACAATTGGTTCTTAAATGCATGATTCTCTGTAAACAGCATAGCTTATATTGTATTTAGTGTAAATATTATTGGCTATATTATGTACAATGTGATATAAAGTACAAAAAGAACAAATAAAAATGTAGTTTACTTTTTTAGTTTTTAGGGAAAACTTATCGGTAAAAAATGAAGACGCTGGCCGAATGTAACATCCCTGCTAAAAATCAGCACAGACCGGTATGAACTCCATGCTGGTCTAAGCTAGTTTGTGCTGGTTTGGTGCCGGTGGTTCAACCAGCATACCAGCATCCAAACCACAACATAAGCTGGTTTTGCTGGTAACCAGCTGTGCTGGTCTGTGCTGGTTTTACTAGCAGGGCTGTGCTGTGTGCAGGCTACATTCAAATGTATGTCACTTTTGAAAAGAAGTGTGGAGAAAAATCATAATTCAGCATGTAGAAATCAAAACAAGATGCATAACCATTCACTTTTTTTACTCTGAATCGAAGTTATATTGAGTCAGGTGTTTAAAGACTGTCAGCCATAGCAGAAGTGGGCCTAAATCCACCTGGTAAAGACTGAGGTTCAAGCAGTTAAAATTACACCAGCGTTATAAACTGACCAGCTTATTCTCTTAAGCCCTAAAAGCCCCAGTGTTATCTATAAGTGACGCCTGTGTCTTATGATCGACCATCTACAAGTCAAGTGTTAATGGAGTGGCGGTGGTGTCAGTGTTGACAAGCTTTCAGACACGTTAGCAAGGGCAGGTCATACGGGCCCTGTCAGACAGGGAGCTGCAATTAAAGCGAGAACGAGAGAGAGAGAGAGGGAGAGAGAGAGAGAGAGAGAGAGAGAGAGAGAGAGAGAGAGAGAGAGAGAGGACAAGAGAATGATCCGTTCACACTACTCTTTCATCTAAAGCCTGGTGAAGAAAAGTGTAGTAAGAGAGAGAAAGATAGGGAGAGAGAGGGGCATAAGCATGTGTGAGGAGTCAGAGGAGGTAATTGGAGGCTTTGAGGGGAGTGTGGCAGCCCCTCATTATCACTGTCGGACAGGAAGAGACCCTGTGGTCCTCAGGCTCACACTGAAAAATACAAGCAGCCTGCTATCACCATGAAGCTCGCAGCACGGCTCCCCGATATGAAAGAGCTGCTCCAAACATCTCTGTTAACACACACACGGCTGTCCTGCGCCGTGTCCACTGCGTTAGCTGTCCTCTTTGAAGCGTTCCCATTCCAGCAGAGCCGCTTTCACTTGGATGTCCTTTCTCGCAAAGTTAAAACAAAATAAAACATTCCAGTCCGATCTTTGTATTAGAATCAGAGTTAGCATTTAGCACAAAACTATCAGCAAGATATCACACTGATATGAATAAATGCTGTACTTTCAAACTGTGCAACAAAAATAAAAGCTGACAAAACTGCTGAAATATGGATGATTTAAGAGGCTGCTCTTTAGGAATTAAGCTATTAGAGACCACTCAAACCACTGATGTGTACAATTTCCAAGTCATTGGCATTTTAAATTGGCTATGACAATGTCTTGAATTAATTATATCACATAGGCGACAGTACCGCTTACGTAATGCCTCAGTAGTATACTCAATGCTAAATATAGCTAATTGGGAAAGTAGACAACATGTGACAATGTATGCTGGTTTGCTCCTGTAGCGTTGCTAATGCCAGCCGGCTAGCACTCTCAAAATGTTTCCTACACGTTGAGATTTACATATTTCCAGTTTCAGTGACACTATTTTACGCTTTGTGCTCAAGCAGAGAAATTATACAAGTGTTAAAGGAAAGATTTCCTGTAATAGATTAAAGCTAGCAGGGGATTCTTTTCACATCATGGTAACTAGCTTTCATTCACTGTTAGCCATGTTAGTATTTAAAGTGTAGTAAAGTGCTACATGGCATGATGGAATAATTGAAAAGTGGAGGAGGACCATGCCTGAAATCCCTCATTCTTCCAGTCAAACACCCTAAAAATTCCCATCCCTTCCATTTCATGGGACAAAGTTTTCGCAGTCTCCACCATCACCCCATCTCCTCCCTGTTCCTCAGTCCTATCAGTCCTACCACAGTTAAAATAGGGTGGGCCCGGCCTTATAGCTCCAGGCAGAAGCCATCCACAGCTCCAGCCCGAGTTCTCAGAGTTCTGTTCCCTCTCTAAATCAGTCACAGTCCGAACTTGGGATCTGCTTTAATGAATTAGGCTTCTGTGGGTGCTAGCGAATCAGCAGGAGGAAGCAGAAGCAGAGCTCTGAGAACTACTGAGTTCTTCCTCCCTCCCACAGCAGCTGTGTGAACCCCAGAGGCACAGTTCACTTTGTGCTTCATTTCTTTTTAGTTCCGTGTGACTAAACACAAGTTTCTGGTCTTCCAGCTTTATTGAGTGTTTTTAAAATGCCATGTTTGTGTAGTCTCTGGCAGATATTTTAACAGCCACTCACAGGAACCGAATGTGAAAAATCTACTCTCATGGGGAGTGAGTGAAAGAGCATGTGTGTGTGTCTGTATGTGTGTGTGTGTGTGTGTGTGTACCTATACCACACATTCATCAAAATCTCCTGTTTTTATAGAAAGCTAAGCTGGGCCCAGGAAAGAAAGTGATCACTCCATCAGACCATCGACGCTTCAGCCTGCCCTCCAGCAACATGGACAGGGTCCGGCTCAATGACTTCCACTTCCTGGCCCTCTTGGGGAAGGGCAGCTTTGGCAAGGTCAGGCATGATACATTGTGTCAGTCTTTGGTTATCCAAACAAACTGTGTTGGTGTAAATTTGTATATAGACATCTGACATTTCACACTTATGTGTATAATAGAAAATTAAATTCTCCTCACTTTTTTGAAATAAGTTTTTTTGTCGTATGTAAACATTGTTAAACTTTCAGAACTTTTCATTCACTCTTCAGCCCATGCAGCCCTTATATGGGAACTAAGCTGCACAAACACCTTGTTTTGATTTCATTGTTTTTGTAACATCACCAAAACTACCACATTTATAGATATCTGTCCATTCAGCCTACAGCAATTATAAGGAGTGTTTCTCAGACACTGAAAAGAGCTGCACAATATGGACAAAATATTATATTACAGTTACATTGCTGCATATTACAATTGCTGTATGGCTTTGTTTTACCAAAAACACATTGATGAACCCTTGATGTGACATGGCCATGAAGGTCTCATTCTTCATGTTTGTTGGATGATGGCAATGCCTGGATTTATCCAAAGAACATCTGTGATTGGTCAGGATGCTTACAGCACACAAAACATTTAGTAATTGGTTAGATTCATCCTTCTGTGATATCATACTGTGAAGGACAATAACAGTGAACAAATGTTACAACCCCCATTTCCAAAAAAGTTGGAACACTGTGCAAAATGTAAATAAAACTAGATGTGCAAATTATTTAAACTCTCTACTTAATTAAAACAGTACAAAATATGAAATGTTGAAACTAAGAAATGTTATTGTTTTTGAAAAATATATTTCCATTTTGAATTTGATGTGAGCAACATGTTTCAAAAAAAGATAGGACAGGGGCATGTTTACCACTGTGTTGCATCATCTCTTTTTTTTTTTGTAAATGTGTGGGAACTGAGGAGGACCAGTTGCTGTAGTTTTGAAAGTGAAGTGTTTTCCCATTCTTGTTTGATTTAAGATTTCAGGTGCTCAACAGTTCGGAGTCTCCTTTGATGTAATTTTCATTTCATGATGTGCCAAATGTTTTCAAAGGGTGACAGGTCTGGACTGCAGACAGGCCAGTTTAGCTCCCGAACTACATTGGTTTGCCGAAATAAGCAAGGTCTTTTCTGAAAAAAAGACATTGTCTGGATGGCAGTGTATGTTTTTTCCAAAACTTGTATATATCATTCAGCATTGATGGTGCCTTCAGAGATGTACAAGTTAGCTATGCCTTGTGCACTAATGCACTCCCGTACATCATGGATGCTGGCTTTTGAACTCTGTACTAGAAGCAAGCCGGATGATGCCTCTCCTCTTTAGCCCGGAGGACATGCTGTGTCCATGATTTCCAAAAAGAATTTTCCCACTTCGCCTCAGTCCATCTTAAATAAGCTCAGGCCCAGAGAAAGCAACGGCGTTTCTGGATCCTGTTCATGTAGGGTTTCTTCTTTGCATGGTAGAATTTTAACTTCCATTTGTAGATGTTTTTGTGTTTGTTTTTCTTTTCTAATCCATAGACTGTAAAAGTGTAATGGACGCAGTGTTCTCCATACAGGTGATGCTAGCAGAGATGAAGTCCACGGAGGAGCTGTATGCCATCAAGATCTTGAAGAAGGACGTGGTTATCCAAGATGATGATGTGGAATGCACCATGGTGGAGAAGAGGGTACTGGCTCTGAGAGACAAGCCACCATTCCTCACCCAACTCCACTCCTGCTTCCAAACAGTGGTAAGACAGATAAAGTACTTTATTAACTCTATAACACTGAGACCAAAAAGCAGCTATTTCTGCCTTTCAGTCTACTTCAGGCTTTTTTCTTCTTTTCTGAAACCAAGACTGATTTTGAAACCTTGTATTGATCAATACCATTCTGATCCGTTACTTTACTGCTCTGGCCCCAGTTCCCCAAAAGCATCAAGAAGGATGTGCTTTCCAAATAATTTTGATATTTGAAAAAAGAAATTTTAGATGATCGCAGTGATTTGAAATTTGAAAGCACACTTTATAATTCAGAAATACACAAGGGAAGTTACATGTTGGATAAGTAACAGAAACTGCCTCTTTAGAGAAGCTAATGAGCTAACACGACTACACCATTGGATGCTTGTAATCTACATCTACACCCTACGCAAGATTTTTTTTGTTTCAAAGGACAAAATGCCATCATTACTCTGTCAGAGAAATGTATTTTCTCTGTTTCTGGACTGTGCCAGAGCCGGCCACACAGTCTCTTTTCTCGTAGGCACATCATTAGCAACCATGCCAACATCCATGGTAACACACGTACAGTAAAGCATTCATGTTCCATAGTAGCAAAGTATAATATATGTACTCAGCCTTTTTCCTGTGTGCTTTCTCCATCTTCCCATGAAATCAAATAAACGGCTGAATAGCAGTTTCAGTATTCAAATACTGGCACCTCAAGCTGTTAACTGAGTGCTTAAGTACAGTGCACAACCCAAGTCATTCTAACTGGTTGAGAGAGTGTTCAATGTGAAGCTCACTTTACAATTTATGAATCTTCTTTGTGCAAAGAAGCTTTTGGGAAATTCAGCTCTGATACAACATGACACATAGCAAATGTGCTCTTTTGAATAGGTTTGTTACAAGGTTGGATCAGATTCGTTTTTCTCCTTGAATATCCAGCATTTACTGCTGATAATGGCCTGATACCAGCCTGATATAGGTTCGGTACCATCCCTACAGCTTACTGTGCCCAACATGTACATGCACTTGTTGTAACTATTCTGGCAGCAGATTTGAATGATTTACAAAAGAGATCACAACAAGTCTCTGAATGTGTTACTAATGTGATGTTAAGAAAAGGTTAATGTAAGACATAAAGCATAAGAAACATGCTAATGCCAGTGAGAGTGAAGAAAGAAGAGGGCGAGAGAGTGAAAATGGAGAATTAAGAGAGAGACATTTTTACAAATTAAAGAAATACTTCACTCAGAAATGCTAATGGGACTCTTGGTTAATAAGCAGCATTGTGCACGGACCAGTGTAGCATAAGCTCACCTAATATCTGACGCCCACTGACTTTTTGTTCATTATTGGTAAGACTTTGCCCTTTTTTGTTGAAGCATTTCTGTAATCTTATGTCATACTCCACGTTAAATGCTATATTCATGCAGTTTGCTTGTCAGAGAGCTTTATTTGCACACTGCTACATAACTCCATCTTAGATGCTCTGCAGGTTTTACACATCTTGCCTGTAAATAATTGAAAGGATGGCAAAAGCTTGCTGCTAGCTGTTTTCCAATTCTGTGTTCATGGGGTTTTAGATCTCGGTCCTACCTTATCATGAAATATGCATTTCCATTCAGCACAATGGCTTGTACAACTTTGCATTTGTCACCATATTTCTGGTCGCATCTGTCCAGGGCGGCATGACGGCATCGGTCATGGATGGCCTCTTAAAGAGTGACGACAGGGGGATGCTCACTGTGGGCATCCTGCTCATGAATAATGCAGCCTTTCCCTGCTTGTCCCTTATTCTTTATTCATAAGGTGTACACAGACACCACCACTCCACTCCCTAAAGACTGCTGTAGCTTCGTCACTGTTTATCGCATCACTTCCCCATGCTCCACCCTCAACATTTAACTAGCTGTGCATCCACCTGCCAGTCAGTGTTGACAGTCTTCTTGAAAGTGTAATACATAGGTATTATATTCCAGTGTATATTCTACATATTCTATACTGTGTTCCATTCATTAATGCATTTCCAACAGTCCTGTGCAGCTGTGGCTGTAAACATTGGGAAGTTATGATTGAGTTACAAGAGCAGTCATATCAGGTCTTGGCACACAGGAAAAGCATTATGCTAATGGGCACTAATTGAGTTAGAACAGCATAATGGAAATTCAGGTTTTTTAACCAGATAGCCAAAGTGCTAATGTGCCATCTGTTGTGCTTCTTCTTCATCGTGAGAAGCATCAGATTTGACATTTGCTGAGAGGAACAGTCAGGAGCCCAGTCCTTTGAAACCACCTGGCAGCTTACGTGAATGTGGAAACATCAGTTCTTTACTGTCATTATTAAGGATACAAATAATGATTTTTTTTTCTCATTATTCAATTTCTTTTCTGATTTTAGTCATAGATAGTTCCCGTTAACTAGCTACATCTCTTTGTATTACACAGTGCTACTTAGTTAAGCATTAGGTCTAACACGTTTAACTAACAATCTACAAAAATAATAAATCCATCAACTATTCAAGTTATTTATCAGTCAACAATTAAATTGCTGTTTAATCTATCAGTTTATGAAACTGTTACACCTTCTTCTGTAATTTCCTTTAGCCACAATTCAAACTTCCTTCTGTGCACTGAGTACTTCCTTAACCCCTTACTAAGCCATAGACCCACCAGCAGGCCCAATGTTTTATTACACACTTTTATAGTCTAAGAATAGCTCGATTAGTTTGCATTGAAATCCCTGTAGTTGATGAATAATAAGCCTGGAATGTTAAGAGGTTTATAGAGGCTGTATTGCCCCCAACACTTCCTGTAATGTATTAAAAATTAACATATTCATTTTTATATTACAGTTTTTTGATCATTGCCGTTGCTGACACACTGCAGCTAACTGACTGACAAAAGACAGTTTTCTTTGACTGGCAGCTCAGACTGACTGACTAACAAAAACTAGCTTTCATGTAGGCTAAGTAAAATATGTACTACATATAGTATATCTCATGGTTGTAGTATATTAACAAGGCCCAATAAATGTTTTCATGGACAGTGTCAGTCTTTGTTTTGACCCTGCATGATTCATTGGGCTCTGCTCAGTCAGCTAACATTGCTGGCTCACATATTTGAAGAACAGCAAATCTTATCCTGCTGACATGACTAACTTTCACATAGTGTAGTAACCAGAGGTTGAGCTGTAAATGGTGGTGGTAGGTTCAAGCGAAAACTACAGTTCTTACTAATACTACTACTACTAATAATAATAATAATAATAACAATAATAATAATAATAATAATAGTGGCGCCTTTCATGACATTCAACGTCACCTTACATTTTATAAAATAAGTAATACATATACATATAATAAGCAAACACAAAACATCAATAAATTTGGTACTGTAAAATAAGTATTAAGAATAAAAAATAAATATTTAGAATTAAAATGAGTAACGACGTTTGAAAAGATAAGTTTGTAAAGCAGTTGTAAATTCTGTGAGTTCAGTATGCAAATGTGAGGGGGAGGTGAATTCCAAAGTTTAGGAGTAGCATAGGAGAAGGCCCTGGCACCCATAGTGCTAAGGTTACTGGCTGGAAGTGCCAGTAAACCTGCTGATGAAGACCACAGAGACCAGGAGTGTGTGTAGGTCTGAAGAAGATATGTGAGGTAGGCAGGGGAAGGGTTATGAAGAGTTCTAAATGTTAGTAATAAGATTTAAGGCAGAGAGTTAGTGTAGTTGAAATAGCAGAGGTGTAACATGGTCAGTAGATTGACAGTTCTTAATGTTACACATTGATTTTAGACTTTGGGACACATTTACTTAAAAACAGTGGGATCTAACTGCTCACCTTGTAGCCATGAATGCAGGGGCGTGGCTAAAATAAACCTCCACCTATGGACTAAAACTCTTTGGCTATGTTCAGACCACCAGCCCTAATCCAATTTTTGACATATCCAGATTGATTCCAGATTAATTTTTGATAATCTAGACAGAAAAAACACTTGAAATCTGATTTTTGCAACTTAGATCCAGACCACATATGGAGGTGGTTTGAAATGTGATTCTAATCGGATTTTTACACGTGTCTCAGTCTGGACGCTCTGGATGCACAAATTGGATTTCAAAGTGTCTTTTGCGTCACTTGCAACACAACAAACAACAACGATATCAAATCCAGAGTGATGGAAGTGCTAGAGTTCAAGAAGAGCGCCAAAGATTCACGATTATGCCAGAGAATTTTTTAAAAAAACTTTTTTGTTTGGAGGGTTTCATCCGTGTTTGAAATCCGTGTCACCAGCTATGTCGTTACTGACACCTATGTTGTTATCATAGCAACTCGTGCAGATAGGTTGATGATGTCTGGACACACAAATCCGATCTAATGAACAATGCGGACACAATGCGGTCATCTCAAAAGATCTAATTTGAGAAACAAATCCGATTTGCCTGCAGACTGAATACATTGGACAGAATTTTTTATTAATCTAAAAAAGAAACTCATGATAAATCTAAATCTTTCAACATTTCAAAATAAAATCAAAACAATTTTTTAAAAAACAACATTGATAACACAAATAGTAAAAAAATTCAGAAAAATTTATTATTTTCAAAAGTTGAAATTTAGGGGTTAGGGTTTGGAGCAGACGATAATAGAAATAGACAATAGAAAGTACCCTATATGATGATTTTGTATATATTTTGCTTATTACTGTTTCAGTTAATGCTTGGTTTTAAGTAGATCATAACTTAAGCCCTGTAAATATCTAAGATCTGATATAGATATATAAATATCTAATATCGAAGATTTTTCAGTTTGAGCTGATTCACACCTGAACACTGGCTTTCTCTCATTTTTGCAGGACCGGCTTTACTTTGTGATGGAATACATTAACGGAGGGGACCTGATGTACCATATCCAGCAAGTGGGCAAGTTTAAGGAGCCTCAAGCAGTGTAAGACACCAGATTATGTGGAAAAAGTGTACCTGAATGACAAGAGTACAATAAGGAAATGATATTTATTCTCAGATGCTTCATACATGTGATTCCAAGGCATGGTTCTCACTGACAGCTGCTGATGAAACAGTTGCGTACATAGACGTGACATGAAAATATGGTTTATTAAAAATATGGTTCATTAGAGATGGTTTTACCGTTATCTTCCATTTGAAGCCATATAAATGGTATGTGAGCACGTAAGAGAGGGAGGATGTGTACACACTGAAGGAAAACACTCCTGTTATATAGTTGAAAGATATATTGACAATCAGTAGGCTCATATGCTCATAGTGCACTCCTGCTGGAGTCTGTTGATTAGTATTTATATTTAGTTTTATTAGTATGTACACCACACAGTGAACCCTCAGCTCACCACAGAACACTGTTCATCCAGCTGCTGGGTCAATACATTAATGACAAACCTCATAAAAATGTATTATATAATATCATACATACAGATTAATTTGTGCTCCTGAAATAGAGGTAGATTTATTGCATTTCCAGGACAATGTTGCTCCTTCTGCTACTACACAATTGATTTGTGCGTGCTTTATGCATTACATTGAGGCAGCAGATATTGATATTGATTTAGTGAAAGTGCAGCTAGCTCATGAGAATATCACTATGGGATATTTTTGTTCTCCATTTTCTGTTTCTTCATAGTCATCCTTGAAGACTGTTTTACTGTTGTATGAAATGTTTGAACACCCCTAGTCAAACTGCATGTTTTGTTGATTTTCAAAGTGTAAATGTGCCAAAACGGATGTGCAGAAGTGTGTCCTCGGAGTTCACATAGCCGAGGATATCACCTATTCATTCAGCACATCACACCACATCAGAAAGGCCCAAAAATGCCTTTGTTTCCTCAGGAGGCTGAAAAGTGTCAACATGCCACATCAGCTCATCTGCAGCTTCTGTAGGTCCACTGGCAGGTGTTACAGTCTGGTATGGTAGCTCCATTGCTGCAGAATGGAAGGCCCTGCAATGGGTGGTGAAAACCACCCAGTCCATCACTGCAGCTGTCCTCCCATTAGATCATGAATACAAACACTACTCAAACTATATGCTCACAAATCCCAGACTGATTCCTTATATGCTTGAACTGAACACTTAAGTATAATTTACACACTGGACCTACCTGGAGAACGCTGCACATATTTAGCACATTTTGCACATGCATATACACACTGTCTATGCACCAGTACACGTCTGCGTCTCTAGTTTATTCTGTATTTTTTGTCTTTTTACTTTTCTTGTACTAATAGTGTGTATGTATTGCCTGTTATCCAACAAGTACGTGAGGTCGTGTCCTTGTCTTAATGTTTATGCACCAGAGAATTAGCCTAAACATGTTTCGCTACACTGTACTTCCATATATGTATAATGACAATAAAGTTGAATTGAATTGAAATCTATGTAGAGCAAGTTTACTTATTTTCACTTAGTAAATCCGCAAAACCAGATTAGTGTTCTAACCAGATTAGAAACTTGTTGGGGTTAAAATGTTGGTTCTGCTCAAAACAAACAAACTGTTTTTTTATATATATTTTATATTTTATTCTGTGTGTCAATTTTAGTTTAGGGAAATGGGCTGAAACATCTTCATCTCTTTTTCTCAATCTTGTAAGCTCTCTGGTGGTCCTGGCTGATCTTATCCTTGATGTTCTTTGTAGGTTCTACGCAGCTGAGATTGCTGTGGGGCTGTTTTTCCTACATAGGAAGGGAATCATCTACAGGTGGGCCAAGACTAAATACATCCTCTTTTCTCTGAATGTTCTCATAACATAGGTTTTTAAGATTTTTTGATTGATAAATTTACAAACAGTCAAATTCTTCAAAATAAAAATGTAGTGAAATGTAGAATCTAGTGAATGTATTGATGTAGATTAACCATTTTGTTGTACATTTGCCATATTAACGTAAGCAATAATTGCTGCAGAACGAGCAGTTACAATGCCATCTCTTCACTTTTTAATAGCTAATGTCATATGCTCACAGATGTACAGACAGCTTCTACTCTAACCGTCCATCTCAGTGAGACGTCTTTTACATGAACACCCGCTTTCCTTTTCCTGTTGCGTATGTCAATCTGAATTCACTGATAATACTAAAAATATCTCACCTGGCAACCTGTTTCACAAACAGGAAATGCAGTGATTCAGCCCAAAGATGTGAGAAAGAAGTGCGAAAAACAGATGTGACAAAAACATGTTCTAGTTTACCAGTTCTCTGTCTTAGTTCCTGAATACTCATATATCCTGTATGTTTCAGTGTTTTCCAGCAGTGTGCCCAGTTCAGTCCATGAAAGTTTGAGTTACTGTTTTATCGCAGCAGATTACATCATGAGAAGCTTTTCTGAATACATCATGGGCATCTTCACTGCTCAGAAAACACTGACCAACTGCATGTTTCGTTAAAAATATTTTTAGATGGGGCTTTCAGTGGTAAGGCATTTGCTTTGTTGGATGTGGTGTTGCACACTATGTGAAGCAGTGGTTAAGAAAATCATTGTATTCTTAGTTTAATAGTTGAAAAAATAAATATCAAAAAGTTCTGATTAGGCCTGTGACGGTTAATCGAGTTACCGTGGAAACAGCCTCCACTGAGTAAAAATTGATTTACCACCGGATAAAAAGAAGTTCAGTAGTGATTTATTTTGTGCAAACCTTAGCAAGACAGCAGTATTCCTACAAACAAACATCTAAACATAAGGTGATGATTTTCTACATTAATACCTGATTTACCTGATATAGATGAAATTGTTGTAAAAACACATCTGTCCTGGTTAATCACGCTCTGTGCTGCAGGCAGATATTATGCCTGTACAGACAGCTGCCTATGTGATATACGGTGTACATTTTAGGACGCCCTCACACCACAGGGTCAGATTTTGGAAAAACATACAAGTAAAAACATGTCTCAGCTCTCATTCATCAGGTGAAATGAGTTGTTTCAAGCGGCCTCAGGTGAAATGGCTTCAGAGAAGAAGGCGAAGGGCTAAGCTAAGAGGCCACAAACTGTCAGATGGTAAAGTTTGTGTGACATTTGCAATTACGTTCTTTTTTACTAGACTAACTACAATTTTGTGGCCAAAATTCTTTACTAATAATTACATGCGTATTTTTTACTCTTTCCTGCTCAAATGGTGAGATATTCTACATGTTTTATCGATGAAAACACAAAGCTTTAGGGTGTGATTAGGGTGTGATTATCTACATGAACAGTTGTGCTGTGTGTATGATGCCATTATTATTAACAACTGGGTAAAATATAGGCATAATCTCAAATAGCCTCATACTCCCTATGTAGTGTGCTATGTATGTCATTATACAATGGCTTCTACATGCAAACAGTGCATTAAATGTCTACAGTAAAGCCATTCGTATTCAGTCAAAGCTGCATAGCATCCTGTCTAGCATTTAGCACTCTATTAGAGTGAAGAAGCCATGATGTCATGACCCATGATACACACTATATAGTAAACAAGGAGCCAGTTGAGATTCAGCCACAGACATGCACTCATGCTAAACCAAAATGATAGTAATGTTGAGCAGGTTTTGTTAGGGCCCCTTGTGTCTCCTTGTGCTCTAAATGTTTTCACCCATAGACTAAAACTCAATACTGTTTATAATTAAAGAAGGAAAGCAAATGTGATTGCTTATATGGTGGTTTCAGCATGAAACATCCCAAGCTAATCTGCTAGTAAGATGTTATAATGTTGTATGTGGGGTACAGAGTGGGCAACGTCATAAAACAATGCAGAGTACACGTGTGACAGTGCTGCACATGCACGGTGCAAATTAGGCAGGGGACGCAGCTTGGGAAGCAACAAAGGCCGTTAAAAAATTACAGGAAGAAGAAGTAAAACGAAGTGTGTCCTGGTTTAGAGTAATGCCTACAGCATTGTTATAAATATTTGTAATGTTTCCCCCACAGCCATTTAGGCAAAGGCTACATATATAATTGGAGCCTGGGGGTGGTGGGGGTAGCCTTATTTAAAGCTTAGCACTCTAAATCTAATCCAAGACAAAGAGCATTAAGTCTCTGATCAGCACTAATTTCATTTCCAACAGTAATAACTGAAGTGAAGCAGTGACTTCACAGCAGTGCTAAGTAGCACTATGATCACAGGAATGCTAAGCTTATACACCTCCCATTGGCAGAGAGCATTACTAAGATTATGGAAATGCCCACAGCTGGCTCTGATCCGAGCCTGAGCTGAAACCAAATGCTGATCCAAGTGCAGTTGGACTGGCATCAAGGCCAGTGCACCGCAGGTGGCAATGGTGTCGGTTTACCACGATCATGCTAGCATTCTAAAGCACAGAGTAAGACATCACCGAATGCCAGTGCCAGTCTTGTGGCACTGATGAAGGAAAATGACTCATACCCTGAGCGATGTAGGGATAGAGAGAGACAGAGAGGCTGTTTATCTTTCGGCCTGCACAGCTCTCTCTATTCAGCCCCCTTGCTTTGCATTCTGATCCCCCTGAGGCCAGAAACATTCATCTCCCATTAATCATGCTCTTTGATGACGGAGCTGAAGCGAGGCTGAGGTCACCTTGCTCTTGCTCTCTCTCTCTATCTCTCTTTCTCACTCACACACAGGGCCACTACAAAGCTCCATCCCACACACCCCAGTACGAAGGCCCATGATTGCCATCTAGAACAAGACTTGCATTAAAGAAATGGAACGCTGAGGACAGTGTTAATAACTGTGCTGGTTTTTCTGATAAATGGCCCAATCTGCCCACTGTGGCTCAAATGGACTCTGTAGGAGTTAATGTAGCATTTGCCTTTATTAGGAACAATATGAGTCATAAAGTATGTGAGCAATTCCCAGGAGAATTTGACGGATGGACGCTTACATGTAACCCTTCTTCTCCTCTGTTCCATCCTCTGTTGTTTTTCAGAGATCTAAAGTTGGATAATGTGATGCTGGACTCGGAGGGCCACATTAAAATTGCAGACTTTGGCATGTGCAAGGAGAGCATGTATGAAGGCATGACGACACGCACCTTCTGTGGCACTCCAGATTACATCGCTCCTGAGGTGAGAGGTTGGAGAGGCCTCTGTGAAAAACGGGGAGGGGCTTCAGTAAGACAGGAGGGACAGGGAGGTGGCACAGGCAGAATGGACTGGCTTCAGTGGTGCCTTTCACACATGCACTTTTACACAGGTATTTACTGGTAATTAAATTTGAAGGGGTTAACTGTGAACATGAGTTGGAATGGTAATCACAGTAAAGCTGACCTGGCAGTTTATCTTCATGAGACTTGGTATGGTACCCACGTAATTACCGGGAGGCTCATGTGTGAACCAAAGACGAGTTTTTGTGATTTTGTACATGATTCTAGAGAGGTGCAAAAATCTGTCACAGCATGGCCAGCGAAGCAAAACTTTTGTTACTCATCTGAGTTTTAAATTTGAGAGAAAAAAGTCATGGGAGAGTATTTATGTACATTATTCAGAAATAAAAGACCTGTTGGCTATTAATGGCTGTTTACTTACTGAGAATTTCATGGCAAATATGAATGCATGCATCCCAGTAAATTATCATTTAATGATAATGAATGACACAGAACCCAAACATTACCAATTAAATTAACCTGGTGATGTTCCGGATTTTAAATGTGCAAAAGGCTGCTGAGAATGGAAGGGCCCTCTGTAGGAGTGATGAACCTCAGTGAGAGGGGGAGGGGCCTCCGTGAGAAGTGGAGTGGTCTATCTAAAGGTGAGGAACCTTTCTGAGAAGGGACATGGTCATTGTAAGGGTGAAGGACCTCTGTAAGAGTGGAAGTGGACTCTTGAAGTGGTCGCTATAAGGGTGAAGAATCTCTCAGAGAAGGGATGCGGTGATTGTAAGGATTAGGGACCTCTGTTAGAGTAGGAGAAGCCTCAGTGAGAAGGGGAGTGGCCTCTGTAGGGGTGAGGAACAATTAAGACAGGAGGAGGGGCCTCAGTGGGAAGGGAAATGGTCATTGTAGGGGTGAGAGACCTCTGTCAGAGTGGGATGGCCTCAGTGAGAATGGGAATGGTCTCAATAAGGGTGGGGAACCTCTATGAGAAAGGGTAAGAGGTCAGTGTAAGGGTAAGGGACCTCCAAGAGAGGGGAACAGCCTCACTTAGAATGGGCATGGTCTCTGTAAGGGTTGAGGGACCTCTCTGAGAAGACGTATGGTCTCTGTAAAGGTGATGGGTCTCTGAGATGAGGAAGGTCCTCAGTGAGAAGGGGAGTGGTCTTTGTAAGGGTAAGGGGCTTCTATAGCAGAAGAAGCAGCCTTAGCTGTATGAGAGGGAGGGGCCTCTGTGAGAAGGGGAGGAGCCTCAGGGAAAAGAGATGAGGCCATCATGAGATTAGAAAGGGCTTGTAGAAGAAGAGAGTCATACTAAGATGAGCAGGGGTCTCAGGGTTGTGGAGCATTCTCGGTGAAAACGAGAGTCTCTGTAAGGCCTCTGTGTGGTGATGTGTCTCTGTGGAAGAGGGAGGAGCCTCTGTATGAGTGACAGGTGTTAGCCTCGCAGCACAGGAGCGTGACCCAGACAGGAAGAGAGGGTCCACCTGAACTGTCTATACTGGTTTGGACACACAGCTGCAGGCCTCAGACACACACTCACACACACACACTCACATGGACTAGTGCACAATTTTTTACATATGAGCATGTGGAAGGAAAACCACGTGTCCGTTAATGTGCTTGTTTTTATGGTGTGTTCACTTGTACCCCTTTGTCCTCCACGGAGCACAGTTCACTGCGTCTGACCCACAAATTAGCTCAGTGACATTTCACATTTCGCCTGGAACAAACATGTCCTCCAGAGCAGAGCAGCAACACCTTTTCTGTAATACCTCTGGTAAGCCCCTCTGTTTTGTTAAAGAAATGCTTCATCCAAGAGCACTTTGTCTTGTTAACTACTAATAAAACATAGCAGGTCACCATTACGCCAGTGACTTTGTGACAGGGGGTCACTGGGTATATACACTACTGTGCAAAAGTCACAGACTACTCCTAATTTGTTCATTTTCCAGTCAAAACAGCCAACAAGTACAAGTTATTCATTTTTCAAAAGCAGAAAAAATATTTTTAACTGAAAATGACACTGAAGCCTTAACAATTAATAATAATACCAGATTTTTCAGTGTCCATCCTTTGCCTTTGTTATAGCTTCCATTCTTTTTAGAAGACATGCTTTTAGTTTTTCAAAAATGATATTTTTCCACATCTTCGAGGTTTAGTCTTAGAGTGTGATTGCATTTTCTGTCTCATAATTCAAGTAATCCTGATTATTCAAAATTCACACTCATTGGTTCATAAAACTTTTCTTTACATCTCAGATGTCCAGTTTTGGGGTTCTAGTGCAGGTTGTCTTCTTTTTTGTCTGTTTCCTTTTTACAGTAATGATGTCTTGACAGCAAAACACATCCTTTGATTATAGCATTAAGTTATCTTCTCACATTTGTCTTCTCAAAGTGCTGTTTATCTGATGGTGACAGTTTTGGTGGTCTACCAGTTCTTGCACAGCTGTTAGGAGTCTCATTTTCTCGAGAAAATTTTTTAAGCTCCAGTTTTTCTTTGATTTTCCCCTTTCTTATGCAAGTATCTTATATCAAATCTCCTCAGAAATATCACCTAAAAATGAAAATTTGTGCTTAATGGCTGGTTTTGACAGTCGTTAAATAAACAATGGGTGGTCTCTGACTTTTGTTTATGAATGTTGAGAAATGCAAGGTGTAATATTAGCTATAATTACCTACCTGGCAGAAAAAAATGATCTGAAGAAAGGAAGTTAACTTAAGTGCTAATAGAATATGGCCATAGTGTTAATAAATAGTAGTTATTGAGTAGTGTTTTAACTGTGGGAGGTTGTGTAGGACTAAAGGTGGTAGTCTCCTGCTGAGGAGTATTTATAGTAGAGATTCCCCTGCTGTGTCTGGAAGCGAGCCAAATGACTCCATGTTAAGGGGAAATAAATATTAGCCTATGGAGGCTAGCTGAGCAGAGAATTCATTCAGTTATAGATGTACACAACTGATTGAAGCTACAACCCCATTTCCAAAAAAGTTGGGACACTGTGCAAAATGTAAATAAAAACAAAATGCAATGATGTATGAATGATTTAAACCCTATATTTAATTGGAAATTGTGCAAAGACAACATATCAAATGTTGAAACTGAGAAATTGATTGCTTTTTGAAAAATATATGCCCATTTTGAATTTGATGCCACCAACACGTTCCAAAAAAGTTGGGACGGGGGCAGCAAAAGGCTGGTAAAGTTAGGTAATGCTAAAAAACACCTGGTGGTTGATTGGCAACAGGTCAGTATATGTCGGTATAAAAAAGCATCCCAGAGAGGCTGAGTCTTTCAGAAGTAAAGATGAGGAAGGGTTCACCACTCTGTGAAAGACTGCATGATCAAATAGTGCAACAATTCAAGAATAACGTTTCTAAACATAAAATAGCAACAAACTGGCACTGCATTAAAAACAGACATGATTCAGGAACACTTCTGAAAAACACTGTCTGTGAACACAGTTTGTCTCTGCATCCACAAATGCAAGTTAAAACTTTAAAATGTGAAGAAAAAAGCATACATAAACAGGATCCAGAAATGCTGCCACCTTCCCTGGGCCCAAGCTCATTTAAAATGGGCTGAGGTGAAGTGGAACAGTGTCTTGTGGTCCAACAATTCACCATTTGAAATTCTTTGGAAATCATGGACACTGTGTCCTCCGAGCTAAAGACTACTCAGCTTGTTATCAGTGCACAGTTCAAAAGCCAGCATCCGTGATGGCCCTATCATCAGGAGATCGCGAGTTTGATCCCTGGTGATGCTACAGCCATCCGTCAAGAGAGCACAATCGGCCTCGCTCTCTCTGGGTGGGTAGGATGGCCCCCCCTTAACAGAACTGGCGGTTGGCGCTTTCCTCCAAGTGCATTCGGCTGTCCAGTGATGTTGTGTGAGCGGCAGTTCAAAAAGATGCGGTAGCTGGCTTCACAGGTCTCTGAGGAAGCCTGTGCTAGCCTTCATCCTCCTAGCGTTGGTAGCATCGTGTGACTGGGGGAGTCCTAACTAGTGGGTGGAATTGGAGACGATCAAATTGGGGAGAAAATTGGGTAAAAATCAAGACAAAAGAGACACTGAACTGTTGAGCAGCTGAAATCCTATATCAAACAAGAACGGGAAAACATTTCACATTTAAAACTACAGCAGTTGGTCTCCTCAGTTTCCAAACACTTACAGAGTGTTGTTAAAAGAAGAGGTGAAGATCTACAAAGCACCTCCTTCATCTCATGAAGCTTGCACCAGTTTTGACATCTTAGCCTTTATGGGCATTTTTACAGAGATCTTTTACTCACTGTTTGCAAGCATTTTGGGGGTAAAATGGGTAGAATATCCCTTTAATGTGGCAAGATAGATGCCACTGTAAAGCATGGCCTTTTCCTTGCCAACAATCTCGCACTTGCATCATTCTCTGGCCTGAACCTCTAGTTGACGCACACTCTCTGTGTCTGTGTGTGTGTGGGCTTTTAGCGACAGCGGGATCAGTGTGTGGGAAGCAGCAACATCAGGCCCATTTTCAGCTTTGTCGCAATATGAGACTTCGGAGTGAAGAAAGACATAGTGTAGGTGGGATAAAAAACAGAAAGAGAGAGAAAGTGATGAAGTGCAGATTTCTTAGTCTGAGTCATGGCTGAGTTCAGCAAATATATTTGCTTGATATAGTGGGTAGCCGTGATAACTTCGGAGACTCCTCAACTGTTGTTCAGGAGACTTAATGGTGATTCTCTTAAAATTCCTTAAGAGAAACAGTGTAGGTCATAAAGGAGACAGAAGATACAGGAGAGATAAAAAAAAGATGAGTGTTAACTGCAGATAAAGAAGAGTAGTATCTTGGCAAATCTGAGCACCTGTATTAAAACTTAAGAGGAGACATGTGAGATTGAGTCTTTTTCTCAAGAGAAACAGCTGAGCAGCAGGAGACTTAAACAAAGTCTCCTTTGTCTTTCCATCTGATCTTATTGTTGTCTAGGAGAAACTACAGACATG